AGACTTTTCTACTCTACTATCACGCTCTATCAGTGGCTCTAGGCTATCATCTCTTTGATATTTAATAAGTCTCTCATTGACATGATGTCTCGCAAAAAGAGTTAAAAGGTTAATGATTTTCACTCAATTTTTCTCCACGTAAAACCATTTTCTCTTTACTGCTTTTTTTATATATAATATTTATCATGTAGTGAATTCTACGCGTGCAAGTACATGTGCAAGTGTGAATTTTAAAATTTCAACTTACAAAAAATTTAGTGAGTTATAAAGTAATACTAAAAAATTAACTCCATTGTGTAGAATAATTTATTATTCAATTATTATTAGCTTATGGATTATTAGAAAAACACAAAGATTTTTTTAATAATATTTATAAACATATTTTTATTTTTTTTAAAATTTAATCGACTTAGTGAATGTCTTGCATAGCGTGGTTTTAAATTTGATGTAATTAGCCCATGCGTTTTTATAAAAAGATCTCTCTAAATTCACTATTATAGCAGTTTATGTTGATCATATAAACATCATTGGATCTCCAGAAGAGATAGAGAAAACTGCTGAACTCTTTAAGAGAGAATTTGAGATGAAAGACCTTGCACAACAAAATTATGTCTTGGTTTGGAATTCAAATATTTGCAAAATGGCATATTCTCCATCGGCCAAACTACATCCACAAGATGTTAGTACATTTAAATATAGACAAAGCACATCCGTTGGGCATAGCCATGGTTGTCCAATCCTTACATATAAATAAAGATCCTTAGATCAGTGGCAGTGGCGAGGCATTTGCCTCCCACGCCCTGCCACATCATATTTTGCCTTGCTAAGCATGGCATATTCTCACCATGTCACTTGCTTTCCATGGCATATGCAAGGCACCATATTACTTTTTTTTCTTTTTTTCTTTTTCTTTTTCTTGATTTGTTTTGACAAATAGAAAGAAACTTTTTTGAAGGCATTATAATTTATACCCTAAAATTGGTATATTTTGGGTTAAAAAGGCTTTTGTTTGCGGATGTTTTTTCATTGTTCAATTGATAAAATAAAATAGTTTTTTAACAATTTTTTTAAAAAACTTTGGATAAAATATACTCTTTATTTTCTTGTCAATTTGAAAATAATAATAATTTAAAAGAGATGATCTTTTACAAGTTGTTTGAAAGAGGATAATTTTTTGGGGACGATAGAATAATTTTATATTCCATTCGGCCAATGTAACTATAATAATAATAATTTTTTTTCAATTTAACTTTTCACCGTTTCAAAAATTTTACAAAATAAACAATGATAAGAATAATTTATTTTATTATATATACCATGAAAAAGGGAAGCATAAAAAATGTTATAAAAAATCTAAAATAGTAACTATGACATTTTTGGGAACGAAGAGTGTATAAACAAAGTAGAATTATTTTTTATAAAAATATTAAATAAAATAAATATTAATAATTAAATACAAAAAAATGTAAAAAAGAGACAAAGATAATGACTTGCTACTGTAATGCATGCCACTCCGTGCCCTTGCCACACGATGACTGGACTGTTTTCTATTGGATGAAATGTTCCACGTCAACGTGTGGCATTCCATTTTTTGCCTTGCCATTGCCCATGCTCTTATGAGCTCTGAGTTTTACTTTTTTATTGAATGAAAAGATAATTGTTTATTACCAATCAATGACAATAGGCTTCTTCATTTTAATATATTCATTGAAATTGATTAGAACTAATACGACGCAAATTATATTGTACATCCGGCTGTACAGTTCTTCCCTTAGAGCAAGACTAAAATTGATCGGAATTACGGTTCAATCTTCCGCCCACCTCAACGTCTTCGTCGCCATGTTCATCTCCCCCGTCTCCAGCATCTCTGCGACTCTGCGATGAAGGCGATGAAGGCAGCAGGTTTAGGGCGAAATCGATCTTCCGATCTGAGATTCCGCTATTCCAGATCTGGTCGCTCTAATTCAATCTTCTGATCCTATATTCCCCCAGATCTGGTCGCTCTAATTCAATCTGTTCTAATTCCAATCTGGTCCTAGATTTTAGATTTTTTATGAATGATATGTTATTTAAGATTGAGTACTAGACTGTTTGAGAATGAGTACTATTAGGTTTTAGAATAAGTATTACGTTATTCGTAAATGAATATTGTACAAATGTGTGAAAATGAGTACTACGTTATTTTAGAATGAGTATCACTTTATTTAAGAATGAGTACCACGATATTTCAAATGAATTATTATGTTTGTGCGAGAATGAGTACTACTTAACTTCAAAATGAGTACTACCCGGATGTACCTATCTCTAAGTACATCCAGATGTACCTTATACCTTCTCCTAATATGATGAAATGATTTAATGTTTACTAATCTATTTAAGAATCAACTTATTGACTTTATATTGATTGATTAGAAGTGATACGATTTCTTATTTAATTCTTTTTTTTATGATGAATGATGAGTGGGGAATGATTTTATAAATTGATTTTAAATTTTAAT